TCCAAATAAAAAAAAAATAAATAAATAAAAAGCATAGTACCATTTTTCGCCTCCAGCACCGAATTCCTCCGATACCCAAAACAATCCGAGTTTGGAGTAGTTTGGAATAATCCAATCACGTTTGTAAGGAACGTCAACATTTCTTGAAGACACGAATTGAGTGATTGCTTCTTTTTTAGCCACAAAAACCTCAGCACCAAACACACATGACTTGTCACCAACTACATATCCATTTGATGGGTCTGTCAGACTTTCCTTTGATATAAATTTTGAAAATCCCCATTTGGACTTCGTTCCTAGGAAACGTCTTGTTCTTCCTGTCCCATACATATACATCAGTAGAAACTCGATAAATTAATAACATCGATTAAATAATAGTTTTGTCTCGGTCCTGACTCTGTGAAAACGTGTTAAATTATTAACTCGATAATTTAATAATTCTCTAAATTAATAGAATTCTCTAGTGATCCCGACTACTTGTTTTGAAACTTAAGTAAACTACTTGTGATCATATACGGTTCAATTGTAATTAGCTAGAGAACAAGAATAGTACCTAGTGAAGAAAGATATTTGCCGGAAATATGATTAAAGAGAAAGATACTGAAGACAGCATTGACCTCCACAGGTTGAGAACATGTGTCTACCATAGCCAAATATACAGAAACATAGCCGCTATCTTTTCCGATATTGCCGTCTCCATTAGGATAGATTATTAGTTTCCTGTACAAGTTCAACCACCTTTCATTACTCCATTGCGCGATATATGCATAAGCGTTAATCATGATAACACAATTTTGCATCTTAATAAAATTCAATTATTTAGTTAATCATGGTTAATCTTCCCAATCAAATGAAGTCTTAGTATACACAATACCACTTATATTTTCCAGCCGCAAATTCCTTAGTTTCGTATTTCTCAATTTGATACTTTTCAAATAAGGAGAATGATTCAATCTTGACCAACAAATGTGCAGGTGGTGCCTCTCTTGTTTCCATTCCGCTAAATTCTGCAGATTTAAGCAATATATACTAAATTTTTCATTACTTACACACACACACACACACACACACACACATATATATATATATATATATATATATATATATATATATATATATAGAGAAAGAAAAGAAAAGAAAGAATTAGTTTTGTGAATATCATACATACCATGAAATTCTGGTAACACTGCTATGACAGACATAATGCTGCTCGTTACTTTATTTTCTACTTTGTTTAATTTGTTTGGTAAGAATTATAATTAGGTTCTTTGTCACATTTTATACTAATAATGTACAAGTTATTGTACCATATGACATCTTTTTATGACAAAGTCAACTGTGCTTTTTGACAAGTTCAAATGACAAGTTGAAAAACTTCATGTTGACTAAGTCTCAAAGAAGTTACGACTCCTTTACAAGTTTAATTAGTTTATGTGAAGAATAAATTTTGAGGATTAAAATTTAGAGGAAATAATACCCCTCAAATGGAAAATATTTTGAACTAAACTTAATTAACTTTTAAAGACGTTTGCTTATGGGAGGTCCTATTCGCGGTAGCAAAATTACGAATGTCGTTTTAAAAAATCCACTCTCTATCTTTCTTTCTCTCTCTACAATTTTAGCTTTTATATTAGAAATCATTCCAAAACTCATGTTACTGTAGCCATTTGCAAAAAAAATGAGTGCATCGAATGAGGATCGAGATATGGAATCTAATGAGGTAAAATTTGTTCGTTTTTGTTCTTTAAATCGTGAAAACGCGACCCACGACCAAACTGGGAGCTAAAAAGTCCGATTCACGCCCGGTTTGGGCGCGTAAAAGTGTTATCCGCGCCCGATTTGTGCGCCCAACACAGCTTTCGGCGCCCGGTTTGGGCGCGCTCTGTGACTGAGATTTTAGAAGCATAGGCTTACCTAACCAACAAGGCTAGAGCCATTTTGATAATAAATTATTATTGAATTGTATTTATAGACTTCGTTATACTTCGCAAAAAATTAATAAATATACGCTGCAGGAAAGACTCGAACACGGGTCTATTGCGAAAAAATGAGATACTTGACCAACTAGGCCAAAGCTAGTTCATTAACTGATAATTATTTAAATATATTATACCATGTCATTTATACAAGGATAAAAAAAAAATTGAACCGGACGACCGGTCCAGAACCGGCGTCCGGACCGAACGCCCAAACCAATTTTTCGCGCCCAAAACAGGCGTGTGAAAGCAGTTTCCACGTCTGTTTTAGGCGTGAAAACTGCTTTCACACTCCCATTTTGGGCGTGGAAGATGCGCAGTTTTTATTCAAAATTGACCCCCAAATCGCGATTTTTCTTCGATTTTCATATAATTAACAACAAATTCAATATATATAATTAGTTTAGATGAGTAATTACCTTTCAAATTGAGGAGATTTTCGGATTTGGAAGGATTGTGAGAAGGATTTAGGATTTTTGTGAAATTTGGGGTTTTTTTTGTGGTTTTGGGGTTTGAGTGAATTGGGGAGTTTTTAGAGAGAGAAAGGAAATGTATTGTGAACGACATTCGTAATTTTACTGCCGCGTAAATCATTTCAGTTTGCTTATACCCAAGTTCATTTTTAATTAGTGAGACCCTCCGGCCAGATACGATAAGACTGAAGTGCCCTTATGTGGTTAGGTTTTTAACGTGATACAATTTTATCTCACTCTTTCCCTCTCTCTCTCTCTCTCAATTTCTCTTTTTTTTCTTCTTTCTGCAGATCTAACCGTCGCCGCCCTCCTTCCTCTTTTTCACTCCACTGCCGTAGTCCGTGCCACCGTTGTTCGTGCACTCGTCACCGCCAAAGCGAACAATACATTGCAACCGCCGGCCGGGCGAAACCTGATGCAGGAGGCCCTCCTCCGCCGATGGTGGAGATCGTCTCCCCCTCGCCCAACACCACCACCTCGACGTCTGGTACAAGTGATGGCGGTGGTGCCTCCCCCACCTCGTCGCCGCCCTTCGTCGGATGCGTGATTACTACATGGAGATTTCCCTTTTTCGTTATCTCTCTCGGTTTCTCAGTTTCTTTTTTTTTTCCAGATCTGTCCACCACCACCACCACCATAGCCGCCTCCCCACTCTCCATTTCATTCACCGTCATTGTCGTCGCCTCTCCTCCCTCCCTTTCATTATTTTCGATTTTTTTTCTTTTTTCTTTCCTCTCCAGATCTGAAGCAGCAACATTAACGTGACTATATATAGTCTGGTTCGAATATGACTATTGTTGATTCACTCGATTAGTGATTTATTAATTTTTCGTGTTTGTTGCCTCTCTCGATTTCTTTCTCTTTACACCACCATCGTCTCCACAGAGATTTGTACACCACCACCACCGTCGCCGCTCGTTGCCACCGCCTCCTCCTTTGTTTCCACGTAAGGCTCTTTCTCTCTTTTTCCTTTTTTTTTTTTGTTTTTTTCAGATTTGTCCACCACCACCACCACCATCGCCGTCTCTATCACTCTTTTTCCTTCACCACCGCACCGGCCACCGCCGTTGTCGTCGACTCCCTCCCTGTATTTCGTTATTTTTCTATCTTTATTTATGTATTTTTCGATTTTTTTTTTCCACATCTGAACAAACAACAGCAGTAACATGACTATATATAGTCATATTCGAATATGACTATAGTAATATATATGTATTTTTCGAATATGACTGTAGTCATATTCGAATATGTTCTATCTTCTCGTTTTCAAGTTGACTTCTAATAACTAGATTCAAATTGTAATTTTTTGTGTGGATGTTGATTGGATTGTTTTCGTAAACAATAGGGAATCTTCGTTGTTTTATATAATTTGGTAAACATGACTATACCACACTATATAATTGGAATTTTTAAGTTGAAAATGTAAAAAACTGCAATATCAATAAAGAATATGACTACAGTTAATATAGTCACATATAGTCATATTCAACTATAGTCATATTCGGCGTTGTAAACTGTCGAGAAAAAAATTGAAATTTTTTGTTTAAAAAAAAATTTTAAAAAAAATTTTAAAAAAAAATTTAAAAAATAAAAATAAATAAAAATGGCTAAATAAAGTCCAAAAATAATAAAAAATAAAAAATAAAAAAAATAATTTTTTTTATTTGGAATTTGGAAGCAAATTTTTAGGAATTAGATTGTTGTTATGGAAAAAGAGAAAAAAAATGAATGATTGGGACTAATTATGCTAATTTACATAAGGGTAGAATTGAGAATAAAATTTCTAGAGGGTTATCACAAAGAAAGATTTAAGGGATGGACATATCACTATTTCTTATCTATATGGTTCATTTCTAATGACCCCTAAAATTTAAATGGGAAAAATACAGTTTTCGGCCTTCACATTAGTATCGATTTCACATTTGGTCCATCAGGTTCACAAAAAACAAATTTTGTCCTTCATGCTGTTTCAAAAATTCGAAATGAAGACTGAGTCTCAAAGAAGGTTCGACTAATTTACATGTTTAATTAGTTTATGTGAAGAATAAAGTTTGAGGATTAAAATGTAAATGGTAAAAATACAGTTTTCGTCTCCTACATTAGCACTGATTTCACCTTTGATTCCTCAGGTTCACAAAAAAACACATTTGGTCTCTCATCATGTTTCAAAAATTCAACAGTTTTAGTCATTTCCGTCAATTTTCCGTTAAAACTAACGGAATCAAGCGTGTGCACATCAATGACATAACAGATAGACTAACGGTAAATTGACGGAAATGACTAAAAGCATTAAATTATTTAAACATGAGAGACCAAATGTGAAATCGGTGCAAATTTGAGGGATGTACAATATAATTTTCCCAAATTTAAGTACATACTTTTATGCTCGAATTTGATTGGATGATTTTAAATTAACACTTCTAATTTTCTTTTACGAATTGGCTTATGTAAGTGTCTCTTTTTACTTTTCACAAGGATTAAGAAATTTAATAAATGTAGCTTGATTTTAGGAAAATCACATAAAAATGACTAAAACAACATTTAACAATTAATGATTTATAAGGGAGAATTAATGTTTAGAGATGTATTAATAAGGTTAAAACAGGAAAAATGCATTTAATGCATTATTGGAAATCTAAAGTGACAGATAATATGAAACAAAAATATTTTAAAAAAAAGACAATTATTGTAGAACATATGGAGTATTTATTAATAATGTATTTAACTATAAATTTCAAATTGACAGCTTGCATCTCGGGAACTTCAAATTCATCTTATGGAAACCTATTAATAATACAATATTAAGTTATCTGACATTAGAGTTTTTCTCTTAATTAATTAAATGCAAGTTTAATACTAACACGTTAGAGAATCCAATGCTCAATCAATGACAATGAAATAGGAAGATAAATTGCTATAAAACTACAAGTCTTTAGTTGTCACATGAAAGTTTAATCCCATCACGATAAGTTTAATAATACAAAATATAATTGTAGTATTAAAAAATAAAATGGTGCAAATGTCTCCCAATTTTAGAGAAATTATGAAATCTTCAAATCACACAAAGAACGACCTTCAATCACTATCTATGTAGCGCGGAAACCTTAACTTCATAATATTTTTGTGTTTCGGACACGTTTCGTGTCCGATACCTGAGGACACCTATTGAGCATTTTATGGGCCACTTTGGAATTTCTAAAAAGTTTAAAACATGTTTGAATAATTAATCTTCAAATATATTTGTTACTTCGTTAATTACTTACATGGTCTGATAATCAATTGCAAGCTGGTAGTTGATAGTAAAAGTTATTTTAAATATGTATGTATGAAATTGTATAAAAGTAATTTATATATAACTAAAAAGTTATATATATTTATATAGCATATTTATTATTATAATATATACCCCTACAGTTTTAATATTTACATGTTTCCGCCAAATCCCATTTTTGTGACATGCCATTTCCCCGTATTCATTTTCCGTTTCCACGTATCGTCGTTTCTGTATCCATGCTTGATGCTACATAGATATCCAATAAAATATCCTTAGAGATGAACTTGGGCGATTCCAATTGGGACTTCATTCATAAAAAATATGTTTTGTTAATTACTCATGCCAAAGAAATATTGGCAAATAACTTGGATCGTGAATTTTAAAATATAAAAATTGAAAATGAAAGGAAAAGATATTAGCCGTATCTTTATGTATTTTTATTTTTTATTAATATATGTATTATAGATAAGGGGAAATGA